GGTTATGAGCTCCCACATACTGTGGTCGCCAGGTTACAGGCCTCACCAGGCCTTCCTGGTTATGAGCTCCCACATACTGTGGTCACCAGGATACGAGCTCTCACGTACTGTGGTCGCCAGGTTAAAGGCCTCACCAGGCCTTCCTGGTTATGAGCTCCCACACATTGTGGTCGCCAGGTTACAGGCCTCACCAGGCCTTCCTGGTTATGAGCTCCCACACATTGTGGTTGCTAGGTTACAGGCCTCAAAGGGGCCTTCCTGGTTATGAGTTCCCACTTTCTGTGGTGGTCAGGTTATAGGCCTCACCAGGCCTTCCTGGTGATGAGCTCCCACACATTGTGGTTGCTAGGTTACAGGCCTCAAAGGGGCCTTCCTGGTTATGAGTTCCCATATACTGTGGTAGTCAGTTTACAGGCCTCACCCAGCCTTCCTGAATGTGGGCTCCCACATGATGCGGTAGCCAGACTACAGCCTCACCACCTTCCCTGAGCACTTTGCTCCCACTCTGTGGTCACCAGGCTTCAGGCTTCATTGGCCTTCCTGGTTGTGAGTTGTCACATGTCAGGTTGCAGGCTTCACCAGGCCTTCCTGAATGTGAAACCCCCACTTTTCGTGGTCGCTAAGTTGTAGTGGTGAGTCTTCACATGTCAGGCTGCAGGCCTCAGCGGCCTTCCTGAATGTGAGCTCCCCATGCATTGGGACTATCGGGTGTTAGGCCTTGTCAGGCCTTCCTGATTATGGGTTCCCACTTGTTGTGGCTGCCAGGTTACAGGCCTCAAGTTCGGCCTTTCTGAATTCAGAGTGAAGTACACTAACCCCTACTTCACCTATTATTGTGGTAAATCACATGACGGGATGTCTTGTGTACTTTCTAAAATCCATTTTGTATGGTAAGGGTCACGCGTGGTATGCTTCGGTCCCTTCTTATGTGGCTCAGACCCCGGTCTTCCCTTGGGTCCCACTTTAAGTGGCGTCCTGTCACTGGCTACAGGGACGCCCTTCTCTGGCTAACTTCTGGAAGAAGTAGCTTCCACTTGGTGGAGTAAGCTCCCACAGGTTGTGGTCACCAGGCTGGGTCTCACTGACCTTCCTGAGTACGAGCTCCCACCCAATGTGGTCGCCAGGTTACAGGCCTTACCAGGCCTTCCTGGTCATGAGCTCCCACACACTGTGGTCGCCAGGTTACAGGCCTCAACAGGCCTTCCTGGTTATGAGCTCCCACATATTGTGGTTGCTGGGTTACAGGCCTCACCAGGCCTTCCTGAATTCAGAGTGAAGTACACAAACCCATACTTCACCTATTATTGTGGTAAGTCACCCGACGAGATGTCCTGTGCACTTTTTAAAATCCATTTCTTATGGTGAGGGTCACGCGCAGTATGCTTCGGTCCCTTCTTATGTGGCTCAGACCCCGGTCTTTCCTCGGGTCCCACTTTAAGAGTTCTTAAGAGCTAACTTCTGGAAGTAGCTCCCACTTGGTGTGGTTTTTCAGGTACACCAGGCTGGGTCTCACTGACCTTCCTGAGTACGAGCTCCCACCGGATGTGGTCGCCAGGTTACAGGCCTCACTAGGCCTTCCTGGTTATGAGCTCCCACATACTGTGGTCGCCAGGTTACGAGCTCCCGCATACTGTGGTCGCCAGGTTACAGGCCTTACCAGGCCTTCCTGGCCATGAGCTCCCACACACTGTGGACGCCAGGTTACAGGCCTCAACAGGCCTTCCTGAATTCAGAGTGAAGTACACAAACCCATACTTCACCTATTATTGTGGTAAGTCACCTGACGAGATGTCTTGTGCAGTTTTTAAAATCCATTTCATATGGTGAGGGTCACGCGCGGTATGCTTCGGTCCCTTCTTATGTGGTTCAGACTCCGGTTCTTCACTTTGGGTCCCACTGTAGATGTGTCTTTGTCGCAATACATTACGACAGGCACTTCCCTTGTTCAAGCTATCTCCCACAACTGTGGTTTTAGGTCTGATTAGACCTTTTTCGAGGTAGCCCAACATTGTGGGTCTGTCAGGTTTCTAGCCTCTGGCTTTCCTGAAGGATGAGCTTCCACATGCTGTGGTCGTTGGGTTTCAGGCCGCACAACGTACGGCCTTCCTGACATGAGCCCTCATGTATCGGAGCTCCCCACACATGGGGTCATCAGGTCTTAGGTCTCTTTGACCTTCCTGATTTTTGATCCCTCTCTTACTTCCTCAGTGCTCAAAAGCGAGCACTGGGTGGAAACTCGTGGATTGAGTGTACGATTCCCATTGGTTCGAGGTTGAGTCACACTCTCCGGAGGATCCCGTCTCTGTGATCCGAAACTCGATGGTTTCCGCCAGCTTCGCGGGCCTTCAGTTTTTGGATGCCTTTTCTAGGCAATTTCCAGAGGCTCTGTCTTGGACGGACAGGCTATGGCCAGACTGTGTGTCTTAGTACAGATCACCAGGCCAGCCTGGGGGCATTTCAGGAGGAGTGTTCTCCTGAATAGTGACTGGCTGGGGGTCTCTTTGGCCCCCTAGCCACACTCCCTAGAAGGGACCCCTTCTATTTTGAAGTTGTGGTCCTAAAGCCTTTGAGCTGGCCCTGATTTACTCACGTTATTACGTTCTGGTTTTTCTTGGTTCATTAGCTTGGGCTATGACCGGTAGGGAGTGCTGTCACTGACAGCCCGATGTAACATAGGGTGAGTGGTTTCAGTGTTTCTTGGAATTACTGGTTCTGACAGTTGTCACTGCCTTTCGGCATGCACTCCCCTCAGCATGGCGGAGTGGGTATTTCGTTCCCCATAGCGTCATTCGACGTATTGTTGAGTTCCCTTCGAAAGGGAACGTCTCAGGTTACAACTGTAACCTATGTTCCCTGAGAACAGGGAACGAGACAATACGTCTCGTTGCCATGCCTCGGGGCCTGCCTGCAACAGTCCCTTCAGACGATAGGATGTTGTCACGGTTTCAAGGCGCCCTTCTTATACATCCAGATTGACGCGCTCATCATTCAAGCTGATGATGCACGGGCTGTCGCCGGTCAACCTGATTACTGTGAGTTGATATTTGATTTCAGACACCTGTCACGCCTGAGGCGTTCCCCATAGCGTCATTCGACGTATTGTCTCGTTCCCTGTTCTCAGGGAACATAGGTTACAGTTGTAACCTGAGACGTTTTCTATTCAAACATATGCATTCTCCTAGAATGAATTCTCCTTTTCTGTTTGGTCTTGTCCTGCCCTGGTTGCACCGGATTGTTTGGGAATTTACAGAAGCGCAGATAGCCTTCCTTTTTATTTTGAAATGTAAATATGTGTGTGTGTGTGTGTGTGTGTGAGAGAGAGAGAGAGAGAGAGAGAGAGAGAGAGAATGTGGGAGAGAATAGTGTGTAAGAAACCGAGTAATTGTGTGTGTGTGTGTGTGTGTGTGTGTGTGTGTGTGTGTGTGTGTGTAACCCTATATTATAGGATCAAAACATCCCCCATAAAGATGGCAATATCTGAAATCCTTGTTGGGATTTTTTATTTATTTATTTTTGAAAATGGCTGATAAATCAGATTAGGTGATGTTTTTTGAAAATGCAGAAAGTTATCTGTGATAGGTTTCGTGTAGGGGATAGAAAATAACATTGCTTGGTCTGTGGAAATGTCAGGCCTGTTTGATCCCTTTGATTCCCTTGTCACCCCACTCTCATCAGCTGGACTGAAAGAAGTTTCACTTAGGACGATGAAAACATGTCTCAGAGCAATGGACACAAGTGACACTTGACAGTGTTGCTGTGTGTCATGTCCAACAGGAGAAACTTGATGTAACCCATCCACCCGGATCCCACTCGACCTGCTCTGAGGCCTCGAACCCGGTTCTCCGGCATGAGAGTCAGGCGTTCTTAAGACTGCAGCCTCTAGCTTCTGTCGCCAGAGCACCTATTGAGATCAGAGGAGTGAGGTTTACTCGCACAGCAACTAATAGCTGGCCTCCGTTACATTGACAGTATTGATTAGGGGTGTCACGATTCTCCAAATCCTCGATTCGGTTACATTTTTGATTCGGAGGTCATGGTTCGATTCTCAATTTTTACTTGTGTTTTTTTTAAATACAACTTTCTGATGCTCCTAAAAAGCTGACATCAGTTCATTGCGATCTCATACATCTCTGTTATTATCAAAGAAGCTGACTGCGCAATGAATCTTTCACAACACTTTGTCTGTTATAATTCGAGGATTTGCCAGCATTCAGAATTCAGCTCTGAACAAAAAGTCTGTTTTGAGCAGTGAGGGAAGTCTATCGTAAATGCTTCTGATTGGCCATTGCGTTCAAGAAATCAACATGTATGTCTGGGATTGGCTAAATCGCTCAATGTTGCAAACATGTTATAAATAGAAACTCTGGCCTGTAAATCGTTTCTATTTTGTTTTAGTTGTTCTTGTTGCTTTTCTGCAACAGATAAAAACAATTGTATTAGTTTTTATGTTTTAATCATATATATTTCTAGTTTGCGGAAATAAATATTATACCAATCATAAGAGCTGTGAAAAATAAGCAATTAATATAGGAAAATAAATGCACTTAGATCATTATCTTGTACAGTAGTTGCACTTGTTTTCTGTTATTAAATCAGGATTCACTTGAAAATTCACATTCATCTTCCAGAACTCATTCTATCAATTTAACCTTTTATTGTTTCCGACCTGATGGAAGTGAAAGAACAAAGACAAGAACTGAAGTTAAAGGTGATGATGCTGTAGTTTGTTTCAGCCTGTTGACACCAATAAAACAATTTAATGCACCAATTTACAGAAGATCTCAGACATCACCATAATGAATGAGCTGAAAACAGGGAACTTTTGGAGACAAAGAGGTTTTTCAGCTGCTCAGTTTAACATGATGGCCCTGTACTTTTTAAATGCAGATTGGATAAAAACACATTGATCACAGTTCACACCTGCAGTGAAGCCCCTCCCACAACAATTCACCACTAAATACTGGGAATATTCCCATCATCCTACAAGAGAAGGACAAACTCAAGGAGTAGCAGCTGAAATCTGTGTGACTGTTAAAGATGGAGTTTATTAAAGAGAAGTTTGAAGACGTGACTGATCCAGAACCATCCAGAAGAAAACATGAAGATACTGAGGAACAAATAGGTCAGTGTCCATTCTTAATTCTTCATTGTTAATGCTTTGATAGATGTGAATTATTAAGCATGTGGATAATATAAATCAGAATTATCATAACCTTGTATATAGCAGTTGCCAAACATATTTTTACTATATTAACAATGAATGACAGAACAAAAGGTGAAATATCTTTGTTGTTTTCTGATATTAAATAAGGGTTCACTTGAACTGATTCTAACTGTTTCTGTGTATTTTAGACCAGATGAGAGTGAAAGAGCAAAGACAAGAACTGAATGAAGTGGAGGAGGAACATCGTAACTTTACAATTCAAAGAACAAAAGCCAAAAAGACGCACACCTGCACTCAGTGTGGAAAGAGTTTTTCATGGCTGAACAGTTTTAAACGGCACCAGAAAACACACAATGGAGTGAGAGATTATGTGTGCTTTGACTGTGGGAAGAGTTTTACTACATCTGAGCATCTGAAACTGCACCAAAGAATTCATACTGGAGAAAAACCTTACAAGTGCTCATATTGTGACAAGAGTTTCACTCTGTCTGGAACCCTGAAATCACATGAGCGAGTTCATACTGGACAGAAGCCGTACGACTGTACTCAGTGTGGAAAGAGTTTCTCACAGAAAGGAAGCCTTAAGACACACATGAGAATTCACACTGGAGAGAAACCGTATACATGCACTCAGTGTGGAAAGAGTTTTTCAAGGCTGAACAATTTTAAACTGCACCAGAAAACACACAATGGAGTGAAAGATCATGTGTGCTTTGACTGTTGGAAGAGATTTACTACACCTGCTGATCTGAAACTTCACCAAAGAATTCATACTGGAGAAAAACCTTACAAGTGTTCATATTGTGACAAGAGTTTCACTCGGTCTGGAAACCTGAAAACACACAATCGAGTTCACACTGGAGAGAAGCCGTACGACTGTACTCAGTGTGGAAAGAGTTTCACCCACTCAAGTAATCTAGCGACTCATGTTAGAAAGCATTGTTCTGTGTCATAGTGAGCAAATATTTTGTTAGATTCACATAAAGTAAATGTGTAGTTAGTTAACTAATAAACTAGTGTTGCTGTGAAATGCTGCAAGATTTGTGATTTATATGTTAGAGAATATTATTGAAAATTATTTTGATTGAACGCTTACAGAAAGTACTCAAAGAAATACCGAAATGAAAAGAGACTGGAAACAAATGCAGAAAAACAAAAATCAGGTATATTTTCATAAATCAGAAAGAATTCCCTGGACTTGATTAATTTTTTAATTGTAACATTTACAAATTTGTTAACTATATCATTAAACCAAAAACATCGGCCAACATTTTTTTTTTGTTCTAAAAAATGATGCCCTACGATATGTATTGTATGTAATTACAATTAATTATAGTTATTTTACAAGTAATTAAAAAACAACCTTTTTAGAGTTTTCACTTTTAATAAGTTTCAGACTCTTATTAAAAGTGATTAAAAGTTTTGTTTACACTGTGTTCTCTTTGCCAAAAAGTATGCAACATGTTTTGGAGAGAAACATTTATTTCAAAATGGGATTTAAACCCCACCCCACACACTGTCAATTGTTTTATTTCAAAGAAAGGTAAAATTTTTTGAATGAAAGATCAAAAGGATAAACGATGCAGATTTATTTTTTTATAGCCATTGAACATGTTTACCAGGGGTGCCATTACTTCTCAATTAATACAACTTTTTTTGTTGTTGTCTTAAACAATTGTTGTACATACTTAAAAAATCTAAAATTTATGCTGCTTTTTACAGCAGGACACAGAGCCAGAAGATATCCGCGCCAAGGGTATGAACATTGGGATTGTTATTATCTATGTAAGATTGTTGTTTTTCTCCACTTTGGCTTAATTTAGTTAACCCTTGGCCTGGGTATCAATTCAGGGGGCTTTCACACTGGCAGTTTAGTTCGGAACGGGGCACGGTTCGCATGAAAAATCGCTAATGTGAACACTGTCATGGGACCCAGGTACGCAGGGACGTGCACAGGGGGGTTGCTCAGGTTGCCCGGGCAACTGCCCATATATTCTCGACTCAGGTTGCCCTTCTGAGGAAAAAAAAAATCGTACAATGGATGTAGAATTTCACGTAGCCCTAGACAAAAATAATATAAAAATCGCAAAGCCTCATTCACTTCCAAAAAAAAAAAAAAAAAGAATTAGAAAGTCAAACTGTTTCCACGAAACCATAGACTGCACGCGACCGGTGCGTATTAGGCACCGCAAATTACTCAGGCCGCGCCTCCATCTCGTGTCGCGCGCTAATTAATGTGTACGAAGTCCATGACAAAATGAAGCGAAACTGTGCTTCTCGTCACGAAAAGAGGAAGAAGAAAAACATGAGAGTGAATTGCGGGAACAGCAGTCAGGTAAACTTGTGTTCTGTCCTCTCTAGTGTCAGCAAAGTTTGATGGTTTGTCTGGGCAGGCAGTGCATTGCATCACTTTTTGCCTGACAAAAGTGAGAGTAAAATACCATTATTTATTACGTTTTGTTTTTGATAAACGACAAAGTGCAACAACAGTGTTTGTTTACTGCAGCTCGGAAAACATAACCGCGTCGCGTGTGTTGCGTTCATATGCGCGTGCACGAAATGAAACTCGCATTTTTCAAGCAGAAATGTGGAGACCAGAGAAATACTGTACAATACGTGAATGATGGCACTCCCAATCAAAGTACACATTATAAAGACACTGATTATCTAGTCTCAGTGTAGTTAAAAACTCTAAACAACTGCACTAATTATGCAAGATATAAACCAATGTATTGGCAATTTGACATTGATTGACTATTGATTTATAGGCTATATTGAATTTAAAATGATGATTAGATTCTGGTCAATATGAATGCAAATCCCTCAGTAAATAACCATAAATCAAGATTTGCTTTAACATGCATAAAAAAAAAAAAAAAAATAGATAAAAATCATAGGCTACTGATTCCGAAAATACCCTGGCTGTAGAGAGAACCAAAGTTAATCCCAAAAGCCAAAGTTCAGGGTTGTACTTTTATTATTTTCTTCTTGTTTATGTTTACGTTAATATTCACTTGTTATCTTAACATTCTATAAAAATGCTTTATTCAGTAAATATTGTTTGTTTGAAACTCATTCTATTCTATATTGTTGTACTTATTCTTTGACTGTTTTGTTTAAAGGAGGGAGGATTGTATTGGGCGGTATTGAGTGGCAATGGTTTATATGGCTCACAGCATCACAGATCAGGTAGAGGGCCTCTTAGCAGAATTTTGCTTAGGGCCCCAGGGGGAGGTCAGGATTGGCAAAAAAAAGAATTGTATTTTTTCCCGAAATCTAAGCGTTTTTTATTTTTTCGAGTTTTTTCGAATCCAGATTCAATCAATCCAGATTATTTCTTTTCAAATAAATAAATAAATAAATAATAATTTAAAAAACAATAAACAACAATATGAAGAACTCTTTTGCTCATTTGTCTCATCTCTGACATTTTGCAATCTTTATAAATAATTATAAGACCATAAGATGAGGCATTGCGTTTGGACATAAACACGGCCAGATAAGGCAATTTGGAAGGGGACAAATTCAACTGAATATATTCCTTCATATAGCCCGTGAGGGGGGAGGAGGGGGGGGGTGCCCTTTTTTCAGGTCAGAGCAACTGCCCCTCAAAATTCCTGTGCACGTCCCTGCAGGTACGCACTGGGCAACCGAACCTGAGACTACCTGGAGGTGGTGGTCTGAGTTCGGTTGCTTCCGTTCTGAAACGTGTCGCGGTTCAACTGTGCATAATAGCAGCAAATTAATAAAAAAACACAATATTCACGTTCTGCTTTCTATCATGCTCTGTGCACGTTTGCAATGACGTAAGATGCACGCAAACGCACCAGGGTTCGAAAGAATCAAGTTTAGTGTGAAACCAGACCAACACTGCGGGGGCCGCCGTGAACAAACTGGAGCAAACGAGCCCAGTGTAAAAGCCCCCTTAGATGTCCTGATTCTGATTCACAAGATCTCAATGCTTGCAGTTTATTTATTTGTTAAAGCCTGTTATTACATATACAGATTTATGTACAATAACCACAAATAAAATGACCATTTTACTGACCGGGTGTAATTTTGTGAATAAAATGTTTCTACAGATTCAATAATTAAAAGAAACTGTGAGATTCAGGTAAAGCAAAGGTATAGTGAAATAAACTTTAATTCTGTGACTGTAACGTTGCTGGAGAAAGCAGACGAAGGCCGCACAGCTTATATTGGTCAACTGCTCTCATCCAATAACCAGCTTGAAACTCTGCCTGGCGCTCGCGTCTCCAACCCAACCGCACCCGCCCCCACCCCCCTCAGCTGACAGACTGTCTATGGTAGCTAGCTAGTAGCGTCAGATCAGCAATGGATAAAGCAATGGATAAAAATATAAACGACAACAGCAAGCGGCCCCTGCTTGCCTCTACTGTAAAGTTTGGACGAAAGGGAAAGTCTGTTGAGGAAAGATCAGAGATTAAAAAAAAATGTGAAGAACGTCGGACTCTAAGTAGGATAAATATAGCGTCCTTCATTGACGGTTGGAGAAAGCTTCAGGGAGATCTGGGACTGAAAACGACGCTGACACGGATGACTTTTTGTTGAGCAGGTAAACATTCATTTATTCTTTTATGGTGTGATGTGTTACATGGCTTTTTATCAGTTTGACTACTTGCTCATGCTGCCGGTTGGCATTGGAATGTTAGCCGTTTAGCATCGCCGATCACGGGTCAAAGTAATTATATTTCTTGTTCGAGGCTTCTGTTCGAGCCGATTGGAATTTGAACAAGATGCACTGCGTGCTGCAATAACAATTACTGAAAACCTTAGCAATACTAGTAGTATTATAATGGTGGTGGGGAGTTTAGAACATTTGATGTGTTGCTAATCTTGCGTTGACGTGAACTCAAACGTGACATACGTCAGGGATCAGGTAGCACAGAGGGGAGGGGTGTGTGTGTGGAGGGGCGGGATGAGTTTTTTAAAACTTCCCTACCGTCTCGACCGATTTTTAACATCGTATACCATAGCTTTAAAGATGGAGTTTATTAAAGAGGAGATTGAAGAAGTGAGTGATCCAGAACCATCCAGAATAAAACATGAAGATACTGAGGAACAAATAGGTTGTTGTCCATCCTTGATTCTTCATTGTTGATGCTTTGGTAGCATATGGATGATGGAGATATGCATCCAAATTTATCATAACCTTTATAGTAGTTGTGAATGACAGAACAAGTGAATGACAGTAGAAGTGAATGACAGAACAAAAGCTGAAAGATCTGATCTCTGTTGCTTTCTGCTATTAAATAAGGGTTCACTTGAACTGATTACTGATTCTAACTTTTGACTTCTCTGTGCATGCTCTTTGAGGTGGACCCCCATACCTGCATTATATGACTGACAGACAAGAACGGTTTGACCGAAAAATATCAAAATTGAAAATACTGTGGAAACACAGACACCTACATCTTGGATGCCCTTGAGGTAAGGTAAAACATACCAAAAATTAATTTCAAAGTGAAATATCCCTTTAACTAATAATCTAGTGTTATTGTGAAATGCAGACTGATCTCATGAAGTAGCGTGTGTATGACACGCCAATTCATATTTCCATTTTTGGCGTGCTATCAAGACGCATAATCGCCTTTCAGCGTGTTTATAAACGCCGTTGATTTAACGTTATATAAATATATGACTTACCTCAACCCCGTCCCTAAACCTAACCGTCACTGGGGTTAATGGCATTTATGACTGTTCCCTCACCATCCTAGGTAAAAAAAAGATATGACTTACCTCAACCCCATCTCTAAATTTAACCGTCACTGGGGTTAATGGCATTTATGACTGGAGATTTGACTGCGTGTTCGGACACGCGGAATGACGCGGACGTTAATGGCGTAGACATATACGCATACACGCGGATACACGCGGATAGCACAAAATGCGTGGAGATAATACGCCACCTGACTCGAAAGTGGCGTATATGTTTACGCAAAAGTCATGATGTCATGTTGTGAAATGCTACAAGATTTGTGATTTATATGTTGGAGAACAAGAATATTATTGAAAAGCATTTTAAT